GGTCACGTGGTACGATCAGAAGATGACAGAGTGTTAAAGACAGTATTTTTTTAAAGACCAGATGGTAGAAGATCAGTAGGCCGACAGAAAAAAAGATGGAAGGATGATATTGAAGCCGATTTATCTAGAATTGGGATATAACAATAGAAAATAGAAGCGCAAGATCGTAGAGGATGGAGGGCGATAGTGGATGAGGCGAAGAGTCACTTGTAAAGCCAGTGAAGAAGAAGAAGTTATAATGCTGTCTAATTCTACGGTATCAAAGGCTTTGTGAAAGTCTACGAAGATAAGTACCAGCGATCTGTTATATTCTATCGATTTTTATTAAGGTTTTTACTGTTTGTAGGTGATCGTTTGTTCCAAATTTTAAACGGAAGCCGGTTTGTTCTTGGGGCTGGTAAAAATCAAACTTTTTATCTTGTTTTGTCGTAATTGTTCACGTAAACATTTTATGGATGTGGTTCAATAAGTTGAACCATTATTGTACTTTAACTATTTACAATTATTATTTTTTTATTATTCTCAATAAAATTGACATAATGTTATAGTTTCCACGCCTATGCATATTCAAACAACCGCAAGGTCGAACTTTGATAACTAATTTAACGAAAAAGATACCAATTTCCATACGGAATACAGAATAATAAGTCTAGAAATATGTAAACCGCAAGAATTATGTACTCGTGTATATATTTTTAAATAATTAGTGATAAGCGCCGTTTAAATAAAAATCACCGAGGAAAGAGTGAAAGGTGAGATAAGAGTAGTTTTAGTAGCAGATTTATGTGACCTAAAATAAGATAAAACTGTTTTGGTTGTTTATTAAAATGTGACCCAAAAGATACAATCTTCAGATATCGATTTCAAATTTTTGTTTTAATTTAATAATATTATATTCTTACAGAGCCCCTCGTTGTGTTTTTGGCATTTCTGATTTCTGATATTATATCTAAAGTCCATTTCCATCATATTGATAGTACATTATGTATGAAAATCCCTAAACTGTTGATGCGGGTGTACAGAAGTATATAGGAAAATAATTTTAAATTGAGTATGACCACCAAGTATAAAGGTTGAAGCAGAACAGAATACACTAGTTTTGAGGGTTACTAATCCCTAAATAAAGTTGCCAGTGTCGAAGTGATTAACAGGTACTAATGAATCTGCAAGAAATGTAAGATGTTTATTTTATTGGTTATATATAAAATAATTTGTGCCCGTAACAGGGGCCGATTTGTAAAAAAATGAATACTATTTTAATCAAATTCCATTTCAGATTCACTGCTTTCTTCAGAATCTAAGGAATCTTCAACTCCAATGTTAATTATTACCGGTTCCAGCATTGCATCAGTCATATTATCCAAATTCCACATTTTATTTTCTTCCTTGTGAGCATGACTAACAGCATTTTTCCAATTTTCAGGAGTTACTTTTGATAAGGAATGTTCTAATAATTGTTGTAAGTCTTCTAATTTATAAGTTTTGTTGTTGCGTCCGACTTCACCCTTTACTTGAGACCATATATTTTCTATTGGATTCAGATCACAGTGATATTGGGGTAAACGTACAATAATTACAGTACGGTTTAATGCCATTTCATCAATTATCTATTTTTTATAAGCGGCTTTAAATTGCCTTACAATAGGTAATAATTCCTTTTTTGTCGAATTCTCCTTGTACTCAATTGCGTGTTTATCCAACCATTCGATAATCTCTTTTCTGCTGGTCTTGAATGGTAACTAGCATTATACATGACTATTACAGAATTTTTTGGAATTAAATCCAACATTTGCTCAAAATATTCTTCAAACACGTCAGCAGTCATTTCCTCGTGGTAATCTTTGGTTGATTTTGAGGCAAAACTTAATAATCCACCATTGACAAAACCGTATTCGTTTCCAATATGGGTTATTATGAGTCTGCGTCCTTTTCCAACGGGAATATTGTTTATTCCAGTAGATACACCTTCGATGAATGCCTGACGGGAACTTTTCACATTTGTATCAACCCATAGATATGGTACACTATGACCTTCATTTAGCCAAGTCTCGTCCAAATAAAAAATTGTTTTCCCTTCTTCTCGGTACTTTTTAATAGTTTCTTAGATAATCTCGTCTCCAACATACAATGTAATCCTTTTCAATTAAAATGGATTTTCTTCGATTCTTTTGCCAACGAAATCCCATCTCTCTCAATAGTCCCCATAATTTCTTGTTGCTTATGATTGGTAACTCTTCGTTTTTCTCTAATTAATGTTTGGATTTTGTCCAATGTTGAAAATTCTTTGTTAAAAAAAAAATGAGTGGACGCTGCGTCTTATCATGTTATTATGTATTTCTTCAATTTCCAAGGGTTTACTCCCTCCACTCTTCTTCAGAGATGAAACAGTTCCTCCTTTTCTTTCTTTTAGGAATCTATAAATTATTGCTTCTCCAACCCCTGTCATATTTGAATACATGTTAACGATTTCACGAACATTATTTAAAGGGCGTTGATGTACAAGTGCATCGTGTACATTTAATATTATATTTTTCTCTCTTAGACTGAAGGCACCTTTAAAACTACACTTAACCGGGATAAAACCTGTTGTCGACGTCATTTTTAAATAACAAAATATCGACACCAAAAACGTAGGTAGGTAAGACATGAACAATGTACATCTACAAACTAAATGGAAGATGCAAACAATTTCTAATTTTTATTATTGGCATAAGCTGTAATGTGGCATAAAAACTACTTAAACTATCACTAGTAAAGCCTTATCAGTAATTCCAGGTAATCGTTCAAAGGAGGTATTCTTTTTGTGTCCGACGATAACTTGTATAGAAAACAATAATCACCTTTAAATTACTGTTTACATTAATTTATTTCGCGAAACATTGAATTCTCTCGTTAATCACCCGTGTATAATTAACAATAATCGTGTGTCATATATACCGACGTTTTTTACACACAAAAAAGGTATAGTGAGATTAGTGGACACTTTGACGGAATCTTAAAATATTAATTTTTTTTATTTATTTCAAAACAAGTATAGGGTGACGCCTATGGTTTTTTGACCTGTTGAGGATTTGCATACAAAATGTGATATCAATATGATGGAAAAGGTCTATATCCGATGACTTCTATTATTTTTAAATGTTTTATTACTTATACTGTCTGGGTATTGCTTTGTTATTATTCTTAATTATTTCTATTTGTTCTTGTCTACCGCCTATTTCTTCTAAACTTTATATTGTTTTATTCTAATAATATCATAACAAAGTCTTCTTCTTCTTCAGGTGCCATCTCCGCTACGGAGGTTGGCAATTATCATAGCCATTTTAATTTTTGAAACAGTAGCTCTAACTATTTTTGAGCTGCATCCAAACCATTCTGTCAGGTTCTTAAGCCATGAAATTCGTCTTCCTCCGATGCTTCTTCTGCCATCTATCTTTCCTTGCATTATGAGTCACAGGATGCCATACTTCTCGCCCTGCATCACATGTCCAAGATACTGTAGGTTTCTTTCTTTAATAATTGTAAGTTCAACTTCCTTCTCCTTACCTATTCTTCTCAGTACTTCATTGTTCGTAAGTCTATCTACCCAGGAAACCCTCATAATTCTTCTATAGGTCCACATTTCAAAGGCGTTAAGTCGTCTCATTGTGTCTAGATTTAACGTCCATAATTCCACTCCATAGTATAGTACACTATATACGTAACATTGTGTTAGGCATACTTTAAGAGTTAATGTTAAATCTTTGCCACATAGGACCTTTTTAATTTTCAAAAAATTAACAAAGTAATTAACAAAGTACTAACAGCGTCTATTGACAATAAATTAGTCAAAAGTTTAACGAAACTGGTGTAGTAAATGATTTATCAAAATCATAGCACAGAATATCCCTCAGCAACTGAAAACAAATTCTATGTTAGGTTAGGTTAGGTTATGTATGACAATATTATACAATATAAAATAAAAACAACGAATAATGAAAGGCGAAAATCACAGAGAAAATGGGACGTAGATAAATTGAAAGAGAAAGAAGTAAGAAGAAGATTTGTACATGAAGTAAATACAGAGATGCAGTTTAAAGAAAAACAAATGGAGGAACAATGGAAAAAAGTCAAACAACGAATAAACAATGCTGCAGAGAAAGTGGTTGGCAAAATGCAAAATAAAAGAAGAAATAATTATTGATTTGACGATGAGTACAAATTAGCAGTGGAAGAAAAGAATAAAACACGATTGAAATGGGTAACTCACAAGCAAAGAAGAGAAACAAGAAAAATACGAAGATCAAAGGCAAAGGCAATAAAATTATTTAAATCAAAGCAGAATCAAAAAGTAGAAGAAATTATGAACGAGATAGAAACAGAAAATAAAAGATACAACTCAAAACCATTTTATCAATACCTAAAGCTAGGTAACCAAAAACGGACAGCTAATATAGATATAAAAGCAGAAAAATGGCAGAAATATTTTGAAGAAATATATCAAGAAACGGATACAGAGAAAGAAAGAGGTCCTCAAGAAGAAGAAAGCTCAAATATAAAACACCTGCTTGCAAAAAATTAAATATATTAGAAAAGTACCAAATTGTTGTATGTGTTTACATTATTTAACATATTTATTATTTATTATTTTAAGTTAATGTAATCTGAGCACACTTTTGACTGATGGTTTAGACGTATGTATTTCTTGCTCTTCTTACACGGAATTCTTTTGACAAAGTTTCGATTCCGAGATGTTCTCTCATCAAGTGAGTAATTAGGTCTGTGCTGAGGTTTTTTAGGAATGACCTTCTATTCGGTATTATTTCCTTTACTGTGGCAATACTTTCTTTGCATAAAATTATTGAAATAATTCCAAGGAGATCTAATAAATTGTAAAAAATTCTAAGAGGCCATCGTCTTGATTTTCTAGCAGTGATCTATGTCACGCGTATGACACATTTCATTATTTCTTTGCTGGAGTATAGTTTTTTTTTTGTTAATTACTAAACTGCTCTTTGTAGGTTTAAGTATAACGATGGCTTTAACTTCAAAAAGGATAAACATTGACGAACCAAGATATGATCAGAAAACGTACGTAGGAAGAGCTAAACATTTTTTCATTACAACCAATCCCTTAAACATATTTGCTTCATCGAAAAGCCTAGATGAAGCTAAGTCAATAGTGGACAGGTACAGGTAAGAAAAATTAATTTATTTTACTTTGTAGTATATCACAACCTTCTTGAGATGTTCATGTAGCAACACATTTAGATCTACCTTCTTCCATGCGAGAATATATGATAAATAAGCCAGTAGTATTTTTATTCTGTATCTTGACTATATAAATACTCACGAACCCTATCACAACTATCATTCTTCGTTTCAGATTTTTAGACTTGAATCTTATCCTATTGATATCTTGAATCCTATTCCTTTAATTGCCTTCTGAATTTTTGGCTGCTTTTTTTAATTTAGTATGCTTTAGTGCACAACTCAATTTTCAGCCTTTTGTGTCTTGTTGTTTTTTAAGAACAGGAATAGGAAGTATCTGTCGTGGTAAAAGTGATTATCGTTTTACCCCTTCATCGGCATCTTCCTGGTCAAAAGACGGGTTTATCTTGCTTTCATGTCTAACGGATGCTTCTTCATTCTTGTGTGCTTGCAATAGAAAATCCTCTTGGTGAAAAATATGTCTGTTTACTGGACATATACCTTTTTGTCAAAATCCCTTGACTGTCTTATCGCCAGGATCTTCAATTAAGTTTTACCAAGCAGATCACTGATGCCAAATATGAGATATTGGGCGATTATTTTGCATTAAAAATGAAACGAATTTCTTCACTTTAAAAAATTTTTAAAGTCCCCATTACTGATTTGTTAAGCAGTTGCATCTTATGTGTAGCGTGAGGCGATAAGCACAATAAAGTTACGTAGTTTTCCCTAGCAGCGATAATAACATCTAGGTTTCTCATGTGCGAGTGATGCCTGTCAGATAACCGTTACATAATCGATGAAGCGATTGAATCATTGCGTGAAAATTTCATTTTAAATCCACCCTGATGAATGCAAGGCAAAAGAGGTGTTAGACAGGGTTGCGTGCTGTCCCCACTTTTATTCAATCTGTACAGCGAAACGGAAAAATCCTAAACAACATAAAATTCGCAGGCAACACCGCTGTTTTTGCACAGTCTAGAAGCATTGCAACGCTTAGTAAATAGATTACATCAAGTCAGTATCAAATATGGAATACAAATGATCGTTAAGAAAACCAAGTTCATGATTATTTCCAAGCAACATACAGTAGGAAAGCTAGATATCGAGGAAAAACAAGTAGAAAGAGTGAATAACTACAAATATCTGGGAACCTGGGTAAATGAAAACAATGACCAAGGTAGACAAATAAGGACACGCATTGAAATTGCAAGACAAGCATTTATAAAAATGAAGACAAATGTTTGTCAATCGAGACCTTCTCTTTGGATCTGAGGATAAGAGCCTGAAGATGCTACGTGTTCTCGACTTTGTTGTATGGAATGGAAAGCTATATACTAAAAGTGGATAATATAAAGAAGTTAGAATCATTTGAGATGTGGTGCTATAGAAGCATTTTGAAAATACCATGGACCCAACGAGTTACAAATGCAGAAGTGTTAAGAAGGCTACAAAAGAATTGCGAGGTCATAAAGCACATCAAAACAAGAAAGCTGGAACAGTTAGGCCACATTACCAGAGGTGCGAAATATGTGATATTAAGGCTGATAATGCAAGGTCCATAGGTCCATAAAAGATCCATAGGAAGACGAATAATTTCCTGGCTGAGAAACCTAAGAGAGTGGTATAGTTGCAGCTTAGTAGATCTTTTTGGAGCAGCCGCTAATAAGGTACGGATAGCTGTGATGATAGCCAACAACCGATAGGAGAAGGAACTACAAGAAGAAGAAGACAAAGATTCAAATAGTTTTAGTCGGAGCAGTTAGCGTTGGAATTATAGATCTAAAAGACCTAAAAGCAAATTTGATAAGTTTTTAGAAACAGTTAATGCATCCCAAATTGATTTGTGTAAATTGTGCCATAGAAAGGTTAAAATGAAAATGAAAAACACAAACACGTCAGATTTAAGGAAGCATCTAATACCTACTACTTTATTTTGGTATATTAATGTATTTATTAAGTAGATATCACCTTAATTTAAAATAACTTGTTTTAATTATCATTGTTTTTTTTACCTATTTTTTATTTTTTTATGTTAGTTTTTTATATAAAAGTAGAGCCAAGATTGTTAGTAACATTTATGTTGCTTTAGATTTCCAAATTTCCATTTCATATATGCTAGGGGTCCAGCAATCCCTTTATAGACAGATAATGTTCTTTAAAATACAAAAATCCACTAGGAAACTAAGTTCCTGTAGCTGGCTGTATACCATATATCACAAAAAATTGATTTCAATGCTTTATAATTTTTTATTATATACCTTTTATAAAGGATTTGAAATAAATTTTTTCTTTAAAATACAGTTTATGTCATTAATTTGGTTTTTTTGTGTTTTAACCATGTTTGATTGACTTCCATGGAGCATGGTAGATAGCTAAGTTGATTAGAGCATAGACACGGATCGCTTAGATCGTGTCTTCAAACCCCCCTAGTAACGTTTAATAAATAGCAATAGGCTAATGGGTAACTGCAAGACTCTTGCTGCAAGACAAAGACCGGAGTGCAATACCAAGACCAAGACCAAGACAAGGTGTATTGGCGCAAGACCAAGACCAAGACTGTCTAAGTCTCGTCTTGTTCTTGCATTTGGGCAACACTAGCCATAACTGCCTAACTTAAAATTTTAATTTAGAAATAAAAAACTAACTATCTCTCTTAGAATTTCCCATTCTCCTTAAAATTATGTTAAGTAATGGCGTGAGTATGATGAAACGGTCCTTTTTGCTTGATCTTTTGCTTAGTAAGGCTGTATTGAATTGTAATCTTCATCGCACTTTTCAGACGAAACGAACATATCGAAGGACTAACCGAAGACAAACTATGGAGAGCCAAAAACTTATACGATTCTGCGTTTCATCCGGATACCGGCGAAAAGATGTTCGTCCTCGGTCGAATGTCAGCTCAAGTTCCTTCGAACATGGTCATTACCGGAGGAATGATAACGTTTTACAGGAGTATACCAGCGGTAGTGTTCTGGCAGTGGCTGAATCAGTCCTTTAACGCCCTAGTTAATTATAGCAACAGAAGTGGAGATATAGTACAAACAGATAAGTATGTTGAATTGTTTATGAAACTTTAAAAAATTATTATTATTTATTTTATTGTGTTTATTATTTCGCATTCTTTGCCCATTTCTCGCAATACTTCCGTATTATTTTTCTTCTGTGTCCATGCTATTCTAAAGCATCCTCTTGTAACACCACATTTCAAACGACTGTAACTTATTTATGTATTCTTGCTTCAATATCCAGCTTTCAAGTCCGTATTGCAGTATCGAAAACACGTAGCATCTCAGTGCTCTTACTCTCAGTTTTAATCTAAGGTCTTTTTTGCAGAGAATTGTTTTCATTTTTACAAACGCATTTCTTGCTATTTCTATCCTGGCTCTTATTTCGATTGTTCGATGATTATTGTCTGAAATCCAGGTTCCTAGGTATTTATATATTGAACCCTTTCTTTCGGTACATTTCTCAAATATATGTTTGTTGGTATATTTATTTTCTTTGTTATTATGATGTATTTGGTCTCTTTATATAGCGGTATTATTACTATTAAATTATTTTCAGTCTGAAAATATTTCAAAGTCAATAAAGAGAAATAAAATATTAACAAAGTTATTTTCTATCTGAAAATAATTCAGTCCCTAAAGGAAAATAAATAATTTGTCAGAAAATATCCTGTAGCTGAAAGAAATATTAAAATATAAAAATTCTAAAAAGTTGCATTTAGGAACTAGAGAATCTGAAGAAGAAAATAAAATAACAATAATGTACGAAAGTTAAAATTCCCTAAAAATACCAAATAAGAAAACTATTCATTTAACTAAGTACGTTTAAGAACTTAGAACAAAAATCCTGAAAGAAATAACCCGATACTTAATGCAAATTCTTCTAAGTTATTAAATCGGAAATCTTACCAAAATTTTTCGATAAGTCGATAAATACCTGAAAAATATGAAATTGTACCAAGTCAAAAATACCATTTAATTTGAAAATAAATATTTCACGAGAAATATCCTCAGTCGAAAATGCTGAAATAAATACAATTTAAATATAAACCCCCTCTGTGGCTCAGTGGTAAGAGCACCTACCTTTAAACCTAAAGGTCGTGAGTTCGAATCTCATCTGGGTTGAGAAATTTTCGTTTATTAAAAATTAATGAATGAAAATAATTTCTATCCTTGTGCGATCGGTACACACCGGAGGGACCGCAGACGTTCGGATACAATTAGCGTCTCTTAGCAAAGACAATGACGTCGACTTTGCTAAGTATCAAGACAATTACTCTACACACACACTACACTAGGTACCTGACTGTACCATGCCAATGATCTTAGTTGTCGAGGCATTAACTCAATAATAAAAATATAAATCAGACTAAGTCTCGATAGAGAACTTGAGAGAAACCTGCCAAGAAGGCTGGTTCTGCCTGTCCAGACCAAAACGAATTTTTGGCCGTCGTGCACTCTCACCTCGGGGTAAATAATATAAGGGTCTAATCACTTTCTGATACCCCGTGTGCTCTGTAGAGGGCTTCGAAAACAGCGTCGCAAGCTCCTACCCAAATCTACTTTCAGGTTATGGACTTGTAAAAGTTTTCTCCTCTGACGGCTCGTCTTGATAAAGATGAGATATTTTCTTACATCACAATACGTCGAAAATAATACATCAGGTCAGTGACTTGCCTTGAAAAAGGCAAGTTATTTCTTACATGACTAAATATTAAGGCGAAATAAAACACCAAATACAGTTGAATACAAATAATCAGCCACAGAGTATGGGAAAAAGCTAAAAACAAGAAAAGCAGCGCCCCGAGAGCACTAAGCTCACGGATAGCCCGTGAGGGACTAACCTGGTTGACCTGAAAATCGCCAATATTTATATCCGCTATTCAAGCGATAAATAGGGATTTCCAGGCCAAGAACCAATGGGAATTTTTTATTTTTATTTAGCGTATGGCAATTTGATACACAACATTATCACATATATGTTACAATCTAACATCTAATGTATTAATATATTCAATCGACGCTGGTGTTGCAGAGGCGAAGTCTAAAGGATCTCCATAATACTTCCTCCGAGGGCATTCGGCAATCATATGCTGGATGGTCTGTTTCTCGGCGCCGCAGTCGCACTCAGCAGAGGTTCTCATCCTCCATTTATAAAGGGAATCTGCGCAGACTCCATGACCCGTTCTTATTCTGTTAAGAGTTGACCATGATTTTCGGGGGAGGTCAAAACCTGGTGGAGTTTCTGTGATGCATGGTGTGTTTCTCATTATTAGGTTCGGTCTGTCGCTCTGCATGTTCTTCCACTGGGAGTTCATTTGGAAATTGTTGGAACTCAAGTTTATTGCATCTCTAGTCGGAGGTTTTCTGGAGCGCAATCGATGTGAATTAGCGTCGGCGACATATGTGTGTATAGGTAATTGCGGGTTGTTAAGCAGCTTTTGGAATTCTCTAAGCAGAGCATGCTGACGACGGAGATTAGGTGGAGGTATATGGCTCAGTAGTGGAAGCCACTCCACAGGTGTAGACTTGATCGTTTCAGATATGAGACGCATGGCGACATTGAGCTAGGTATCTATAATTTTTGTGTGAATGCTATTCAGTCAAATAGGAGAGCAGTATTTAGCTGCGGAGTATACGAGTCCAAGGGCTGAACACCGAAGTGTACCTGCTGATGAGCCCCATGTAGTCCCGCAAAGCTTCTGTATGATGTTGTTACGGGTTCTCAGCTTTGCTGCGGTGTTCTCAAGATGTTTCTTAAAGGAGAGTGTTCTGTCCAGGGTGACGCCGAGGTACTTGGGATTATAGTTGTGCGTGAGCAGTTGGTTATCAATGTATACTTTAAGTTTTGTGTGGGCCATTTTGTTGTTCAGGTGAAAACAGCTAACCTTGGTTTTTTTCGTTTGGTTAGGTTTAAGTCTCCATTATTTAAAGTACTTAACCAGGCGTTCCAGATCTTCCGTTAGGATTGCCTCGGAATTTTGTATTAAGGAGCTTTGAGTTGCAAGTGCCCAGTCGTCTGCATATCCAAATTTTTTAGATCTGGTAGGGGGCATATCAGCTATATACATACTAAATAGCAGCGGTGCAATTACGTAGCCCTGGGGGAGGCCATTATTAAGCGTTCTCTGTTTGCTCACTGTAGTTCCCATGGTTACACGGATGTTTCTACTGCTCAGCATAGTATTTATGAGTCGGGCGGTTGCTTTTCAGGGGATTATATACCAATGGGAAAATTCGAGGCGAAGCGATGCGCATCGAAGTGCGCACTAGTCTTGTGACTATCGCATTCGAATTTCGATGACAGCACATATACTTATATGAAATTAAGTAGATCAAATGCTCCATGGCGGTCTGCCATTGAAGCTTGCACGACAGCCAATGCTCAATTTCGGACAATACCATTGGCTGCAATTATGGTTGCAATTTGACTAATCGTAAAGCCGGAATTGAGCTATTGGCGACATTAATAATTTTTAAGCAACTTTTAGAGATTTCGCCTCACTGTATGTGACTGTATTACGGTCGATGCCACGCGAAAATTCGAAATTGAAGAAGGCCAGCTCTTTAACGGAGTTCGCAACGGAAAGACTTCTTTCTCGTGTTTCTCTGACGCACAGGGCCGCAATCAGCGATTTGTGACTAACAACAATATATATATTTTGTTACGATTGTTTACTTTGACTTTTACTTTATTTGCTTGAGCAAATCAAAACATAACTTAATTGTTATCAATGTAAAATAAAACTCCTTATATTACCTGTGATCGGTGGGTTCAAAGATTTTCTAGTTGTCCTTTATCGGGATAGAGAAGAAGGATAATAATACAAAAGAAGAGTACGTTACAAAAATATAAGTATTCTTTATTTTATTTTAAGAAGAATAAAAAAAAAACATTATCAAATTTTGCCGTTATCTTATCAATCAGCTTACCAGAAACATAATAAAATTTGTACAATCAGAATATTTTAAATCTTCTTAAAATTAATGCCAATTGAAAACCAATTTCAATGAAAATTTTTACTTTACTTTCAAAAACAAAACTTTAAACTTTTGATTAATCAAACAGAAATCTACTTTTAAATTTGAATGGTAATGACAATGATGTCAACATAAATCCTTCACAGACACAAAAATTTCAATTGTGAAACAAAACTCACTGACCTTTCCTTCGTTGGTTGTATTTTGGACCATCCCCAGAATCGTCTACGCTCCACAGAGATGTGACCTGCCACTATTCGCCTCGGCTTCCTTTCTCCCGTATTTGCAATCCTTCTGCAGACTGCACGAAACACCTGACTTATTTCTCCAATTATTAACACTTGAAATCTTATTCTCAAAATCAATCAGCTACTTCTCAATGACACGAGGAACTCTTTTTGTCAACTTGGTACCGGAAAACTATTTGATACGTATTTCAGAAAACTTTCTCCAACTATTAACACTCAAAATTCAATTCGCCAACACAATTAGCTACTTCTCAATGACACAAGGACCTCTTTTTGTCAACTTGGTGCCAGAAAACTATTTGATACGTATTTTAGAACACTGCCCAATTTAGATCCAAGGATACCTTTTCATCGACTTGGAATCTCCTTCCACAATTCTGCTAACTGCCTTTCACAATGCCGGTATACAAACTCACACAGACACACCCTCTGTAGAGGCGCGACTTTTCTTCTCGATGACCAAATTACAACTGCCTTCTCCGGAATGGTCAAGGTCGTTGGTCAGCAAAAATTTCTAAATCTACATTAAATCTTATCTTAAAATAATACATAAATTTTGTTTATCACGATATCTTGAAAAATTTATTTCGATGGACTTTTTATTCATTTTTATTTTTTTTATTCTTTTTTTGGTTGGGGAAGAAAAAATATGACAATTTACTTGATTATTTGCAGCAAAAATTTGAATATTAAACTAATTTATTTTTTAGGCAAATAATAACTTCTTATTTATGTGCTACCACGGGAGCTGTAGGTACAGCGTTAGGATTAAATAGTTTAACAAAGGTAAGTTTAAATATCTTTCATATTAGTGGTGACACTTTCTCGTATCTTTTTCTAAATTTGACTCCATATATACCCAGGTCCAGTTCTAGGGTTGTAAACGCCCCTCGCAAAACAAAATTTGGCACCCTTTCATACAATAATATTGTTAAGTCTTTATTAATTCTAATTTATAGTTCTTAATTAAATTTATTAAAGGTTCAATATTTATAACCCTCACGAATTTATTAAAGTCTTTATTAATACTAATTTATTTTCCAATAATTCATTACGACGTACATTTAAATACGCGGCCCGATTTATCTTCTTACTAACTCCACAATAAAAAGTCCTGTTATTTATATATAAAATACAGTTATCTAGAAGGGTCTGGGGAATTCCTTTGATGACGTACCATCTATTATGTGACTCATTCAACCAGTCTATAGTCAGAATCCAGAAATCTAGGCAGTAAACTCTTGGAAGTAATAGTGACGGTTTATCGCTATTGTAGGTCTTCCAATGGCGTACGAAAAATGTCATAAGAAGTTACAACAAAGCTACTTTTATTAAATAAATATGTACCTATTTATAATTATGTTAATTTTAATATGATTATTATTGACATTTGTGTTATTATATTATATTATTATAATATACATGGTGTTTGGCAAAGAATGGCCATAACTTAATCTTAGATTCCTGAGATTAAAATAGGCCGATTTAAACTAACTTACTTTAGTACGAATGTTGATAATAACCAAAATAAAGGGTGTCAAAGGTAAACTTTTATTTTTGAATATTTCGTGACAGGCATGGTATAACAACACGAAATTTGGTAAGCTGGAGTTTTTTGGGATGAGAAATCTAAATTAGCCAGTAAAATTGATGAAGGACGCCACATACGTCTTTCAGTGCTCGTTTAATACGTTCAATTTTTTATCTCCCACTCGACATACTTTTAGAATCAAAACTTTTATTCTCTTAATATTTTTACTTGAAAGATATACTACATCACCGTACAACTCAATACTTTCTATTATTGTTTTATAAATTTGAGTTATAGGTAATGGATTTTAACAAGAGCTATGACCTTGTAAATAATAGGTAAACTTGTGTACTGCGTCGGCATGACTCCTCTTGTCAAAATCCATTACCTCTAATTACAATAAATAATAATTTTAGGTTAGAAGGTAATAGTTATACCTCCCTAAAACCTAAAAGTGTATACAGAATTGTAAACAATTTTAAACAAAGTGAAGGCAAATTGGATGATTGACCTGTTGAGACCATTGAAACCCGAGGTAGAAACCGCATCCAGCTTGAAGATCATACCAAATATCCTATTCAGAGAAAATTTCATGCTTTCTTTTTTCGGAACGAAATCCCAACCTTAAAGAAAGTTGAAGTTGAAATAAATTCCGATAATTCAATACCCAAAATATCACGACGTGTTTTATTGCGAACATTAGAAGAAATAAACATTAAATATATGAAAAAAAGCAGGAATAGTGTTCTTTTAGAAAAAGATGAAATTGTTTTGTGGCGGAGAAATTACTTAAATTAGAAAAAATCCGAGAGTATCGTCGTGAAACCCGAAAAGTATACTATTTAGATAAAACTTGGCTAAATCAAGGTCATACTGTCTCAAAGGTGTGGCAAGATTTGAAAATTAAAAGTCGTCGGAGGCTCATAATAACACATATAGGCAGCGATTCGGGTTTTTTGAAGAATAGCTTTTTACTATTCGAATCCAAGAAAACCAACGATTACCATGAGGAAATGGACGCTCAAAGATTGGAAGGATGGTTGTCAAATATTCTACCAAACTTTGAAGCAAATGCTGTCGTTGTTATGGACAATGCGTCATACCACAGTCGACGGTTGGAGCCATCACCAACGACTGCCTGGCGAAAAGGTGAAATGATCAACTGGCTCTCTCAAAAAATATACCATTCGATGACAACATGTTGAAAGTACAATTATTAAACCTCGCGAGGATACATATACCCGTTTTCAAGAAACATTCAGTCAATGAAATGGCTCGTGCAAACAACAGAATTGTACATCGCCTACCTCCTTATCATTGTGAGCTGAACCCTATCGAGCTTATATAGGCTTAAATAAAAAACCAAGTGGCAAGAAAAAACTTGAGTTTTAAAATGGAGGAGGTGAAGTGCTTGTTAGCTACTGCCATACAAAATATCACACCTGAATCTTGGAAAAATTGTATAAGACACACTATAAAAGAATAAAATAAATAAAGTATAAGATATTATTAAGTATATTTAAGAATAAAGTAAATATTCGTGATCTCGATAGCTCTTCATCAGCCGACGAGTCGTCTTCATACGATGATTAATTAATTTTTGTAACAAACAAAAAATGTCATGAATAAAAGTTATAATTTGTCATTAAATGTCATAGAAAATTTCTTTGTCTCGTATGTTTTGTACAAAATTATGGAATTTGAAAGTCGTTTTTTGAGAAGTGTTTTTTTGTGATAAGAAGTATTCACTTTTAAAGTTAAATATAAGTCTCATATCATAATATATTAAGATTTATTTTTAAAATTCACTGCAACAGTGTAAACGATACGCTACTGAATGCTGCGCTATGAAATCAATGAGCAATTTATCTCTCTTTATATTATGACAACGTTGATCTACTATTCCTTTCTACCGGTCCTAGAATACGATGTTGTCATGTATGACTTTTACAAAGGATATTATCGTACTTCAGATGATTTCTATATATAAATATTGTATATAAACATAATATTATATATACATATTGATGTTATTAAATACATTTTATTAGATACCTTAACAAAAACAAAACAATTATTAATATGATAATTTTGCTGGATGTCAATGATTAAATTATAAATTGCTAGAATATCTATCATCACAAACTGGCAACGATGTTGTCGTATTACCGCATTAACAGTTCGGAGAATTTACTGCCTACAAATTTGATTCTCAAGTATAGAAAAGTCGTTCGCTTTCTCAGCTAATAAAAACTCGGAGGGCATTGGCTCGTCGACTGCGTTATTGTTACCTGGACTGGTTATTCGACCTTTTTGGAGAATTCTCTAGTACTACAAATAGAAAAGAATTAGTCACAATATATTTAGAGTTTTATATGCTATAATATTTAAAATCGTAACAATATACAAATTTATTACAAATAAAAAAATGGTCCAAAAAGGGCAAAACAATTAAAATTACACAATAAATATTTATTTAAAAATTTATATATTTAAAAAATAATAGAATAGTATTATTTTTTAAACATGTAAGTGATATATTATGGAACAGAAAAAAGAGCACTTTGAAAGTAAGTTATGTCATTCCTGTTGCATACATGTGACATACAATATTTTTTATAACGCTATTAAAAATTATGTAAAATTTATTTAATCAATGTCTTATGATAATTGACTTGTTTATATTCAAGAATATAGCCTCAAACTTTTTGAAAATAGGAGGGGTATGGGATATGAATTCTGATCTTTGTGATTTACAATCAGTGAAGAAGCGATACCAAGGAAGTTATCCCCTAGGCTAGTAGTCTTAGATACAAGGACGAATTGGGGAAAAAGAAGAAATAGAAGCAATGAGTAACCTTCCTGTAATGTTAAAAACAATCGAATAACTTTACTGCGAAGCAAAGTTATTTACAAAACAGATCCAAGAAGTAGCATAGAACAATACACTAACCATACTAACTCAAATAGAAGGAAAAAATATCCAAAAGAAATAGAAAGCTAAGACGAAAATGATAACAAAGCAGATATCCTGCTCATAAAATAGAACTAAACAATGAAATTCAAAAACTTCAAAAAGAGAAAACTAAAAAAAATAACAATGAATTAATTGGACTTTACATTAGTAAATCAACATATGACAAAAGTATCGACCGTTTGGCATGGAAGGCTCATAAAAATCTGAAAAAACTTATCATGCAATATGCAATGCAGATGGTAGCTAGGCCAGAAACAATGAACAAAAAGCTAAACCTTTTAAAGAGCATTTAAAAAACACATTCTAACCAAACAAGGGAGATGACCTTAATACATTGGCTGCCACCATAAGAGTGTTAGGTACGTTCACCAGATGCCAAAGTGAAAAATGCTTACAAAACAATATTTATTCATACAAATGGTTAATAATGCAATGTAAGTTTACATTCTTACAAATTTTTTTGAAAAAAATAGCAAGATCACGGGTGATCCTAATGGCACTGCACTAACACATTACACATATATGTGCCACTAGTATCATCAGTGATCGTGAACAACTTAATGCTTTTTAGTAAAACATGTCACACAGTAAAAATTTTCACAAACATTACAAAATGTAGAAACAAGTTTGGGTTTCTTTTGAGCTTCTTTGCTGCCTTTTGTTGCAACTGTTTCAGTGTAACATTGGTTACAACGTTTTCTCTTCTTCCTATTGTTTGTAGTTTTGGCGTCAACTGTAACAAGCATATGCTTTACAATAGTAATAGGCTCAGGCATCGGACTGTAATTGACTAAACTTAGGATTAGCATTTCCCGAAATGAGATAACTTGTTATTTTGGTGTGTTGAAGGAATTATATATCATCAAACTATTGATGACAACCGTATTCAATAAAACTTCAATTGCAGCTTTATGGTACCATCGAACACTTTTTCTCAGAGGTGAGAAATAGCTTGCGAGTTGATCTGAGACATCAACACCATCTTTTCCTTTGTTGCAGTCTATAATTGCTTCAGGTTTAATTATAGCTACACCATCTTTCTCATGTTTACCTGTCTCTTTCATGTCGATTCCGTGTCTGGTCGTCAAAAAGAGGACATCACGTTTATCGTGCCATTTGCCTATTACAATGCCATCACGATGTTTCTTTCAAATTATCTCTCTTTTTTTTAATTTTGCGGAAAGTATATCTTCTGGAATATATTTTCTGTTTTTAGGTAGTATCACTAATAAGTGATTATTAACATCTAATAATTGTTTTGCTAAAGGCACAGACGTATAGTAACTATCTGTTATTAAAACCTGCTCTGATAAATTCTGCCCTTTATTAGCCATTTTTCCGGTATAAATAATCATTTTTAGAGTATAACCTGCAGGATTACATAATTTAAACAGTTTCAAGCCATAGCGGTGACGCTTTGAAGGTATATATTGTTTGAAAAGTTGTCTTCCTCGAAAGGGAATCATACTTTCATCAACAACTAGTATTGAGCCATAATTACATTGTTGGGCAAAACGTAATTGTGTCATTTCAAATAATTTTCTAATTCTATGGCAACGATCGTTTAGTAAAGCTGCCATGTTATCAGCAAAATGCAAGAATCTCAAAAGAAGCTAAAATCTGTTTCTAGTCATTACAGAAGAAATAAAAGTAAAATTATACAATGGTGACTTACTCTAATAATCAGTAATTTTGGAAAACTTGACAACTCCCATACACAGAACACAACCCAAAAATTTTAAAATTTCTTCTTCTTCCCATACACATAACACAAAATTTCTTTTAAAATTTCTGCTTTATTGGTAGGTTTCCATGCATGAATTCTAGATGATCTGCTATAACGTTGTGCATTTTTTACTTGCGCAGCATTTCTGTTAGTCTCCTCTACAATAAGTTGTAAAATTTCATCATCGATCAGTTTCCTGTATACATGAAAAGGAGTTAGTTCGGTTCTATTTTGAGGATACCTATCATCATAGACATATGATTCATTACCAGGAAACTGTATATCGAGACGTAAATAAGTACATTCAACTTCGTACCATTCATCGTCATTATTTTGCTGGTCGTTAGATTTTACCGATTGTCGTGCATTTTCATCCAATAAGCTTGAATCACTGTTACTTTCATCTTCTATATCAGATTCTTCTTCGTCACTCGGGTTGTACTCTGAATCAGATAACACACATTCATCAGAATCCTCCTCTAACAATTTGAGCAACTCCGCCTCTGTAAACTTTTTATTTTTATTTGGCAGACGCTGAATTTTACTTGTACTTGGTAAATTATCCATGATCTGAAAGACAAATTCCAATTAAAAAAAGTAACTTTACTATCACCATTTTTCATTAATTAAATGTAAGCAAAAACATTTGAGGTTATGTAAAATAAATACTGTAATATTTTGTTTATCCTTAAAAATATTCAAGCATAAACTATATACATATATACTTACTTCATATAATTTCAAATTCACCAAAAAAAACTGCTAATTCTGTAGAAAAACTTGATAATGAATGCCACTAATCGTTTCTACAATGCCTTATTATCAACTGTCGTTACAAGCTATTTACGACATTATCGCGCCTAACAAAATAACATAAGCTAGCTATGGGTTCCTAGTGTGCCACAGTAAAACTAGTTGAGCGTCCTCACAGTGCCGACCGTTATAATAATTCTGAAAGTTGAATACGCACAAGTAACACCGGTGATCCTAATGGCACAATTGTAATCTGTTAGTTAGGATCGCCGGTGATCCTTGTGGCAACCAATGTGTTAAGAAACTGACTGACATACTAAGACGACAAGAAAATTAAATGTGTTACTTCTAAAATAATTCAAAACGAGATAAATGAAAATATTAGTCCTAGAATAGCTCCTGGATTCGATCTGGTAACAATAGAAATATTAAAACAGCTTCAAAAAAAGCTATACTAAAAATAACGCGCTTATTAGATGTTGCCGGGGTCATACAAAATAACAAACCCAGATACCGTCAAATGAAGTTTCATCATACATACCTATATTTTTGTTGACTATACTATCGAAACTACTGAAACACTATTTCTAAAAATATTAAAATCGATAGTAGACGAAAGGGACCTTAATACGATAGAGTATGGCATAGGGATCTTATTCCCAAACTATAAAGAGTGCTACCTAAACAATACTCTCAATTAAGAGAATCTTACATTTTAAACAGATTCTTAAGAGTTGTGAAAGAAAGAAATGAAAGAAATCAAAGCGGGAATACCGCAAGGGACCGATATCTACATAGTATAAACTGATGATATTTCAAATCGTTAAGAAGACTATGAAGAAGTTGCAAGAAAACTGCAGAACGTGAATTAAATCAATACCTGAACAAAAAAAAAACTCTCTAAAAAATCTGAAGTTACATTTGGATAAGATACTGCGTTGGAATGTTCACATTTAAAAAAAGAGAAAAGAACATAACATAAAATTTTAAAGACAGAAGTTTTAGAATAGAGTACTAAAGATCAGCCTTGATGCTCCATAACACATAAAAATAGCTGCATCCACCGAGATCTGAAGATGGAGACACTTGAACAAATAATTGCCAAATGTGCCAGCAGACATAAACAAGGTCTACTTCAGCATGTGAATATTGAGACCATTCAACTCCTCGATCCTTTCTAGATCAAGTTCTGTTTTTGTTGCTTATTTTTACATTTTTTTCAATATTTATTTTTATTTTAGGCAATGCCTAGTATAGTTGGTCGAATGGTACCATTTGTTGCTGTAGCAGCTGCTAACTGTATAAACATTCCAATGATGAGGGCACAGTGAGTATTCTTATTTTTGAAATTCAATATTTTATATTAATTACTATTTAACTGGAAATAAGCCACAATTAAAGATAAAAATACGTTTATTGACGTTTCAATTTCCACTTCGGAAATCGTTCTCAAAATACAAAGAGTAAATTAAACAAATTTTGTTTTTTGTGACAGTGAAAAATTCTTCTAATAATTTAATTTTATCTAACTCATTTATATTGACAATTTAGACATACATTATGCATTTTAAAGTAGACAACTTTAAAATGATATTGCCAATATTGTTGAGTTGCGCTCCTGGGACGACTTTACTTATAAGATAGTTCATTCGATTACATGAAATCAACTTTAACTTGAGAATATCCGTCAGAAAAAATCATAGCATGTAATTCGTCTTTAAAAAGACAAACACATGACGTGATGACAGTAAAATTCTCCCGTTAGTGATGCCATAGTAAATTATGAGGGAAAAACCAGGAAAAAAACGTCATAATACTATCTAGACATGGTAAATATTTGTTCGTGCATTTAGTTTACCTTCAATAAACACCAAAATTCTGATTTTATATGTTTCGTTATTTAAAAAACAGAAATGATGTATCCTCTATATGTTACTGACTTACTAATACTGGTATTTTCTTATTAATAACTTCCTCTTTCAATGTTGGTAACCAGATCCTACTACATTCTGCCGAGGATTTTCGACACAATTGGCCTCATTTAGCATAATTAGAGCCGCTTCTTTGATTTTTCTTTTTTTTACCATCCGTTTCTTTTAGGACTACATTTCAATTATTCCATTGAACCCTATGTTCATTATCCCAAGCGTGTTTACATATTTGAGATCTATCAAATTCTCTATTTTTATTATAAGATTGATGTTCACTTATTCTAACATTTAATGGCCTTGATGTTTCACCTAAATAAAACTAATCGCATTCACAAGGTATTTTATAAATGCAATTCTTTGTCCTTTCTTGTTCATTGTTAGGTTTGGTTTTGAACAAAATAGATCTCAACGTGGTTGCCCACTGATTCAGTGGAAATTTATGCGGTCTTGGGACTCTTGATTACGGCGGGTGCGCTAAAAGCCAATAGGGAACCAGTGCACTTTTTGTGGTGTCGAAACCCTTTGTACAGTCGATCTATTTTTCCGGCTGCTATGTCACGCGACCGATTTCTAGATTTAATTTCCCTTATGCGATTCGATGATTTGAACACTAGAGAAGAACGTGGAAGTTCTGACAAACTAGCAGCCTTTAGGGAAGTGTTTACAAAATTTGTAGAACACTGTCAAGAAAGTTTTAAGTTCCACTCTCATCTAACTGTTGATGAACAACTTGTAAGTTTTCGAGGTAAGTGTCCATTTAGAGTCTAAATGAAATCAAAACCAGCCAAGTATGGCATCAAAATATGGGCTCTAGTTGATGCAACAATCACCTATGCTGCTAACCTTTACATTTATACAGGAAAAGATGGTAACAAACCAGAAAAAGACCAGAGCAAAAGAGTAGTACCTGATTTGGTCTCATTTCTAAAAACTGGTTATGGTATCACTACTGATAATTTCTTTACCAGTGTTCCCTTGGCAAAACAACTCCTAGATCGACAAATAACATTATGTGGAACACTTCGAAAAAACAAGCAGGATATCCCTCCATCCCTACTACCAAATATTTCTAGACAAGCGGATAAACTTAGCGGAGAAGAGACTGGCCATAAGCCAGACATAATCTTGCATTATAATTCTACAAAAGGTGCCGTAGATACTATGGATAAGATGGTATATGAATATTCTTGTAAAAGAGCCTCTAAGAGATGACCATTTGTTTTGTTTCAAAATCTTCTAGACATTGCAGGTCTGAATGCATACGTACTGTGGAAAACAAAGAATTCCATTCGTGCGTATGAAGCTTCTCACAGACGCAGAGAATTTTTACTAAACCTGGGTCAAGAACTTGTAAAGCCCCATGTCGATAGGCGACTACAAAGTCCACAAAAATTTCATAAGCGAATTATAAATGCGATGTACGAATTATGCCCACCGCCACCAAGGGAGAATCGCGAAAACGACGTCACCATCTTGAAATCCTTAGGGCAATGTTTACTTTGTCCACGCAAGAAGGACCGCAAAAACAGAAAAACGTGCAATTCTTGTAAATCCTTTGTTTGTGCTCAACATCAAACAACCACAACAATTCAAACAATAATATGTACAAAATGTAAAGCTAATCAAAAAAAACGATAATTAATTTTTTCAAGACACCATATATGTTTTTATTGTTACTTATATTCAATAAAAAATACTTGCATTTGTTTTAATTATGTTTTAACTAAAATTATTGCATTATGTTAATATTTAATCTAAAAAAATGCATGGGGTACATAATGTATCCCCTCCGTCAAGTACAAAATAACTTAACCCTTCGGTAGCGAAAGGTTAAGTTGTTTACTAACTTTGGTTTCCAATGACAACTTGATCTAATGCTTCCTACCAATAATACTTTTAAATCTAAAATTTTCCGAAAACTTTGGGGACACACGTTATTAGTGACTACTACTACAATCTTGTTTTACTCCTCTTGTTTTTGTTTCGTTTGGCATTTTAATCGCAATTTTAATACATGTATTTGTGTACAAACTTTTGATTGCTGTAATCAGGTGTATGTATTATTATGATTAACTTATAATTTTTGTCTCTATTTAGAGAATTGCGGCAAGGAACTCCAGTATACGATGAAAATAACAACAAATTAGGATACTCCAAAAAGGCAGCTCAAAGTGGAATTGCTCAGGTCGTTTTCAGTAGAGTATGTATGGCACTACCAGGCATGGGTAAGATATTTTCTGATGTTTCTATTGACACACTTATCATTTATTTAAATTTAAAACACTGCTCTTGTCTATTCTAACACATAAACAATTTTAATCGGGAATTGCATCAATACCTTATAAGTAACAAACGAATGTCTTTTCATATATTAATTGGTGATATCAATATTAATTTGTTTGGGGATCTAGATCACACTGAAGAATACCAGAATATTCTAGCTTCACAAAATTTTTTGTCTTATATAAATAAAACAACTAGACCTAGAAGTCAAACTTGTATAGACCATTTCTTTATAAAAAGACCTGCTGATTACACTAACATAACTTCATCTATATTTGAAAATAATACTACTTCAGATCATTATCCAATCGCAGTTTCCATTCCTAATCTAACCAAAACCAAAGAAAACAAACTAATAATAAAGAAGTACATCAACTACAAAAATCTAAAAAACAATTTGAAGCAGGAAAAGTGGTTGGATATTTATAATAAAACAAATAAAAATGAAGCGGTAAAACTTTTGATTGACAAAATTTTAAATTTAATAAACAAAAATACAATTATTTTAAAAGGAAATGATCTAAAAAGCACTTTTAAAAAAGATTGGATGACAGGGGGATGTTTAAAGTCTGTACAGGAAAAACACATATTGTATGATCAGCTAATCCAAGATCCCTCAGATAACTTAAAAAAACAATGATATACAGACTATAAAAATAAATTAAGACACTTAGTTAAAACTGCAAAAAGAAATTATACAAAACAACGAATTGAAAAAAATAAGACCTCTTCTTCATCACTTTGGAATGTAATTAATTCATTGTGTGGAAAAATAAAAGGAAATACAAAAATTGAATCGGTTAAAACCAAAACAGGAGAAAAAATAATTGACAAAAAAGAAATTGAAAATGAATTTAATACACATTACAGTACATTGGGACAAAGGTATGCACAAAAAATACCCATTTGTAATGAACAGATTGAGGACATAGATAGGATAAAAAGCAGCATGTACTTGTATCTCGTTGACCAAAAAGAAGTGGTTAATGCAATACAATCTTTAAAACACAAAAAATCTCCTGGCTGGGATGAGATCAAGACGGAAACCATCAAACAAATTAAGGAAGAAATTATTATTCCTTTAACTTTTCTCATTAATGCATGTTTTCAGGATGGTTGTTTTCCAGAATGTCTAAAAATAGGCAAAATCAAACCTCTGTTTAAAAAAGGAAATAAAGAAAACGTGATTAATTACAGACCAGTATCTTTGTTGTCTGTTTTTTCCAAAATATTTGAAAAAATTTTGAAAAATAGATTAGAGAGTTTTTGGATAGGTTTAGTATAATATCGGATTGTCAATACGGTTTTCGAGAAAGAAAATCTACACAAGATGCTATTTGTAAACTAACATCACAAATATCAGAAGCTTTGAGTCTAATATACGTAGTTTATGCATATTTGTCGATCTCTCTAAGGCGTTTGACACGATATCTCACGGGATCTTCTTAGAGAAACTTGAGAAGTATGGTCTGAAAGGACGCGTTTTGACATTACTAAAAAGTTACTTAACAGACAGAAAACAATTTGTAAAATTTATGGTGTCGAAAGTGATCCTGAAGTAATTAATTATGGCGTACCGCAAGGGACCATTTTAGGCCCTCTACTCTTTACACTCTATGTTAATGACATGCTTAAACTAAAAACTGATGGAAACATAATAAGTTTTGCTGATGACACCGCAATTTTTTATAAGGCCGAAAATTGGGAAGATCTTAAAACTTTAGTTGAACAAGACTTCAAAGTTATAAAAACATGGTTGCAAATAAATAAACTCACAATAAATTACGAAAAAACTAAATATATACCTTTTGCAATATATAAAAATTCTCTGCCAACTTTCAACTCATTAAAAATAAATAAAAAACAACAAATATTTAAAGCAGAATACATAAAATATTTAGGAGTTTTAATTGACAGGCACCTTAAATGGGACTTACAAATAAAAAATATTATAAGAAAAATACGAGGACTGTTACCAAAATTCCGCTATTTAAAAGAGTTTTTAGATGTTGAACAGCTTAAAATGCTTTACCTGTCTTTAGTACAATCTCATCTTGTATATGGGATTTTAGGATGGGGTGGCGTAGCTGATTGCCATCTGGTGAGCCTTCAAAATACTCAGAAATGGTTTCTTAAACTAATATATGGAAAACGAAAAACATATCCGTCAGACCAACTTTTCCATGAAACTCAGGTTCTTGATATTCGGCAATTGTACTGCTAAGAGCTACTTAAAAATATTCATAAAGATAAAATACCTTTTAAAGTAAAAGTGTCAAATTATGAAACAAGAAGAAAATTGAATGTTGAATGTCTTCACACTTCAAAAACAATCACGCTACGATCAATTAAATATTTTGCTCCAAGAATATACAATCAATTGCCCATAAATTTTAAAAATATCAAAAATTTTTATTTGTATAAAAAATTAGTTAATGCTTGGGTAAAAGAAAAAAGGGAGTTGTGTAACAATTTAATAAATTTAAATTATACTAGATAAAAAAAAAACGAAACAAATTAGATTAGATTAGAAACTGTAAAAATGAAATAATAATTTGTAAAAAAAAACATTAAACCTGTTAATATTAGACAGATTAAGTCAACAAGCATGTTAATGCTTTAAAGACTTTTCTTTTACGTTTATGTTACTGTAAGTAAACTGAAATTGAAATTGTAAATTAATGTAATACTTATTGATTTGAATAAACGTATATTATTATTATTCATTCAAAAATTTGTTACATAAGACTAATAAGTACATAAAAATCTTCTAATGCACGTAAAATCAAACTGATTGATACCATTTATGCCTCATTTTAGTCGGAACGCCAATTATAATGAACTCGTTGGAAAGAAAAGGATTCCTACAAAAATATCCACAGATGACCTTACCAATTTCGGTTGGTTTTCTAGGATTGTGCCTAACTTTCGCTACACCACTAGCCTGCGCAGTGTTCAAACAAAAAGCTTCCATATCATTCAAAAGTTTGGAACCCGAACTACAGGTAAGCTATAAATATATAGAAAGTGGACCTTCAATACGTGTTTTAACACCAAAAGAATGTGGTATATTAGAATATTAAGTTAAATATTAGAGTATATTGAAGTTAAATAGGTTAAGTTAATGTGATCCAGAAGAATCACTCCAGAATATATGTGAAACCTTACATAAAATCAGAGAATAACATCTAATAGGAAATAAAGAGAAGAGGAAAATTTGAATGAATGACAATATATTCCAACTCATGGAAGAAAGAAGCTCAACAACTAACAAAAATATTCAATGACATATATTTAAACCATCGAGCAAAAATACAAAAGAGGGAATCTAATCCTTATGAAAACGATACCAAAAAAGTGGCCTCTGATGGCGGACATATCCGGAAATGCGAATGCGCCAAATTTAAATTTTTCGACACTTATTAACAGTAGCTATATAATATTTTTCAGAATGTGTCTTAGACGAGAAAGTTTTAATTAATTATTAACCGTAATAGTCTAAAATGCGACACAATTGTTAAAAAACTTCAATATAAATAAGATTTCATGTGACATTTGGTACAAACAATAACATAACCTAACTAAATTTGATGCCAAACAAGGAGAGAGACTCTCTTTCTTTATTTAATGAGGCCTCTAAAGATCGCACTTCCTGTCTAAGAATATTTTTGCCCCCACTACCTTTACATTCCCTCTTTTGTCTTTTTGCTCGATGATTTAAACGCAGTAATACCAAGACCATTGCTGAAGTCAACATTTATTGCTTTACCAAAGAGAACGAGATCCAAATCCTGTAATGATTTTCGGACCATCAGCTTAATGAGTCACATTTTAAAGTTATTTCTAAAAATCATACATTAAAGGGTATATGAGGAGGTGGAGTACAAAAAAGGATTTGTCACAATGAATCACATGTTGAAATTTTGGTGTCATTTAAAAACTTAATTTGAACCCCACATGTTAGTAAATACAAAACGAATTTTGTCGTATGGTTTTTCACATATGAAATATAGGTAGCGGAACAAAACAAGTTTTGTCTACCATAAGTAGTTAATCAGAAAAGATTTAGTCACAACCAGCCAATCACAGGACAACATTTGCCCTATCCATGATGCTCTGTTGTTGGAGGTTAGGAGTTTTCACAATATTTTGTTCAGTTTCATTGTTATTGTGTCGCAGAGCTATTAGTGTTTAATTTAATATTAATTAGGATAAGTGAAGCTATTAATGACTCTTTTGTAAGTGTGGAAAATGGAAATGATGGCTCTAGGAAGAGAACTATAAATCCACGAAAGAGAGAATTGGCAAAGAAGAACAGACTAATCCAACCTAAAGGTTACAATACCTTCAACCCGTGCTTACATGCCTCATGCTTACATGTTTTATATAAAAGCTTTACTCCCAGTGATTGTTCTCATGTGAAAAGAAACTTGCTATCTGTGCCCAATAAAACTGCTCAGGACAACTTAATTTCAAGTCATATGTCCCTTCAAAACATCAACAGAAGAAGGCTACGAAATACAAGCAAAGAGACACGGCCTAACTCTTGTTCTGTTGAGTATACTACTACCAGACTAAGCAATATTATGAAATGTAATCTTAAGGGGGAACATCTAAATGAGAATAAGGGGGGCGACCGCAAAAAAAAGGCACGTGTAAGAGATTTCATAAAAAGTTAAGAGGTAAAGAAACACATTATTCTAGAAATAAATCAAAGCATCAATCTATTTGGTTCAGGACATAAACATCACAAAAGTATGGAAAATGTATAATAATTTACAAGATGATATCTCGAACAAAGTATCAAAAACGATGTTTCATGTTTCAAAAAAGAATTTTTCAAATCTTTAATATTGGATTTCCCTCCCCAGCGTCTGATGTGTGTAGTTACTGCTACAAAATGAAACATTTCATCAAAACCACAAAGGAGCCAGCTATGAATATTGAGTACATGACCAACAAGCGAGTTCACACGATTCGTGCAGTAGCATTTTATAAGGCTATGAAAAACAAAAAGAGTCCGGTTCACTCACTATGTGGTTCGACTTACAGCAGATTCAACTGTTACCAAAATCACCGATTTCAGAAACATATTACTCTAAGCAAATTGGATTATACTGTTTCTGTGTTGTTGAAATTGACGGAAAGAACCCGACATTTTATATGTGGACAAAAGATTAAGCTGGAAAGGGTTCTACTGAGGTCTCTTCAACTCTTTTGGAACACCTTCTACTTTAATAATAATCACTTTTTTGTGATGGGTGTGGTGCTCAAAATAAAAACAATTTCGTTTTGCATACACTTATGCTCTTTTTGATCAAAACTAAGTCCAGACTATCAGACATCACAATTAAATGTCCGGTGAGAGGACACAGCTTTCTTTCTGCCGACCGAGTGTTCGGACGAGTAGAAAAATTGTTGCGTAAACAGCCAACTATCTATCATCAACAAAGAAACCTACATCGATGTATATAAATCAGTTGGAACAGTAAAACTATTGGGAGAAGATTGGAAACTGTTTGATACCAAAAGTCTTTTATCAACAGAAAAAGGCTGCTTTAGGCGCCTGGACGGTATCCCAGACTGCAAGAGAATTTTCATAAAAAGAGAAGTTGTTAATCGACAAACTAAACTCTTGGTCAGAGGCCTAATGAACTTTATGTTTGAATGTGACACGGAGGCATGGAAATCTCTTCAAAAGAAGGGTTGGCCTACTAAAAAATATGCGCCTTATTAGAGATAGATGAGTTGCCACTCGGTCACAGCATACCTCCAGCCAAAAAGAAAGATGTTGACAAGCTTTTGACGCAGATCTTTGGGGAAGAATGGAAGGACTATCAAACACTTTATTGGTATCTTCGTATCATTTTTAACAACGTCCCTGTAACAGAAAAAGTTGACCATGGTGAAGAAAACTGTGACTGTCTAAAAGAAAATGTTGGAGAGTTTTGAATTTTATACATTTAACTTCTGATTTTATACTCATAAGTCATAAAGGTATTGTTGTTTGTATCGAATTTGTTGTTTTATAAGTTCATTTTTTGACCTATACCTATTTACATGATCAATAAGAAGAGGATTAGTCTTCATAGAGTTTATTCAAAAGATGTTTGGTCCATACCGGTCGATCAAAACGCGTTTAGTCCATTGAATAAACCTATTTTTTATAAAATAAGCATACAACATTTTACTTTTATATTTATTTTTAGTGTCCAGAACTACCAATCTATATTAGTAAAAAAATTGTTATAAATAAGTGCTATTTCAACGATGTAGAGATGTTTATTGCGATATTTATGCATGCTTCATTGATTACCACAAAGCGATCGATACAGTAAAACACGGCAAGCTGATGAAAATATTAACAAATATTGGAATAAACACCTGTGATTTAAGAACTATTAGCAATCTTTACTGGAATTAAACATCGTCTATCCGTACAGAGGCAGGAGAATCCGATGATATCAAAATCAGTCGTGGGGTCCGGCAGGGATGTATACTATTACCCTTGCTATAATTGTCCTGCATTTGGTATCTGAGACCATTCACGAACGTTTTTTAACCAAGAAACTTGTTTCTTCCTACACCTCTACGGTCCTGTATTTTGCCTTTAAGAATCAATTGTAAAATTTTATATCGACTTCCCCTTACTATATGTCCCAGATAAGACATTTTTCGATATTTAACAGTCTTTAGCAGTTCTCTGTCTTTGTTGACGCTCCTTAGTACTTCATTAGTTTTTGTTGCTGTCCAAGGTATTTTCAGCATTCGTCTATGAACCCACATTTCCAATGCTTCAATTTTGTTCATGATCGATACTTTTAGCGTCCACACTTCTGCACTATACAAAAGTACAGACCAAACATAACACTTAACCATTCTTTGCCTTAGTTCCAAACTGAGATAGTTATTGCAAAGAAATGACTTCATTTTCATAAAAGTAGTTTTAGTCATTGCTATTCTACGTTTTATTTCTATATCTGGATCTAGTTGGTCCGTTATCACAGTTCCCAAATATGTCATTTTGTGAACTTTTTTAACTTGGACTCCGTTCAATTGAAGATTTGCATCGGGATATGGGTCACGACTAAACACTAAAAATTTGGTTTTGTTTGAGTTTATTTTAATGCCCAGTTCCTCTCCTACCTCGTGAATAGGATCAAGAAGAATTTAAAGACCTTCAATATTACCTGATACAATTACTGTATCGTCTGCATATCTAATCACATTAAGTAGTACCCCGTTGATTTTTATTTCATATGGTTGTTTCCCAAGTGCCTTTTTAAATAGCTGGTCCGAGTAAACATTGAACAATGTTGGCGACAAAATGGTACCTTGTCTACTCCTCGTTGTATGGAGATTTCATCGGTGTAGATATCTCCAATTTTAACGATAGCAGTTTGATTCCAGTACAAATTTTTAATGACACGAATATCCTTCTATTCCGATATTTTTCAGTATTTGCACTAATTTTACATGCTGTACTTTATCGAATGCCTGTTCGAAGTCCACGAAACATGCAAATACATCTTTTCTTTGGTAACGGCATTTTTGTAATGAGATGTTTAGCGCAAAAAGGGCCTCCCTGGTTTCCATAGCATTTCTAAAACCAAATTGGGTATCTTCAAGATCTTCTTCGCATTTTCGTCTAATTCTGTTGTGAAGTATTCTGAGGAAAATTTTACAATTTTGAGGAATGTGGCTCATTAGGCTAATTAATCGATATTCTGAGCATTTTTTCGCATTGTGTTTTTTAGGTATTGCGAGTGACAAAGATGGATTTGAGCCAATCTGCGGGAATCACTCCGGTGCTATATATTGAATTAAAAAGTCTTACTACTACTTTTATGTTATCATTCTGTATTAGTTTCAGCAACTCAGTTGGTGTATCATCTGGACCACAAGCTTTTCTAATTTTAGCATTATTTATAGCATGTTCTACTTCGCATTTCATAATTTCTGGGCTGTCAGTACAGTTTTGGCAGAATTCGACAATATTATTCCT